CCGTAAATCATTGACACTTTGATATAGCTTTTAATCTCATTGAAATAGTCTGGAGTGTTAGCGATACCGTCAGTCGACTGTAATAGTGGAGCGCCCGGTTCTTTTACCTGTTACTACTACGTTAATATGAACCGAATCACCCTACCGATAGGCTTATTTTACGGAAAAGAGTTTAACGAATACTTTAGTATTTAGAATAGTACTTTTTTTGGATTTACCTGCACCGCGCACTGTCAGGAGTCGGCGAAAGATTGTGTAAAGAAAGGGATTATTCTGGAATTCAGTGATATAGCTACATTCAATATCAAAACAAACACAATATTACGAATTATATGGTTTGTATATTTCTAATAATTTCCGAGATATTTGACGGAATACAAAAAACAAAATACGTATGAAATGTTTTCATGAAAACTACAATTTCACAAAGTTGTAATAAAATTGTCGATTGTCAATTCTGTTGTGAGTTTACGGTTGCTACGAGGCCGAAGATTATAAGCCATAAATAACCGAAAATTCCACTCCGGCCTCTACAAGGGTGGTCGTCTAGGGCCAAGCAGCGTCAACTGACACGTGTCGGTAAATTTTTTTCCCTGCTCCTCGAGATAGACAATGTACACTGTATTTTCCAACTCGAAGCAAGGGATACGTTGATGGTCATCTTCATTTCGGACATTTTTAAGCCGATGCACGTGATGTCTGTTTCCTATCTCGAAGGAGTAGGTACCCTGGCAATAAATTAACGGGCTACGGCGCCTTGGAGAAACTGCGCGACGGTCCTTTCCTTCCACTTCTGCAAAGCACGTGTTATCCTAGAACCGTTGGTTTCTTTCTACCTAAATCTTGTCATGGTGGGAGTGAACTCACAATGTAACGATGGGAAACTACTTGGGGGTAGAGGAAAAATTCTGTCAGTCGGTTAGCAATCGGGCGACAGAGATGTTCAGTTCACGGGAGTATTACGCAATGTTATGGTGGTACGTACACAATAACGGATATGCGGGTGTTGCTGTGCAAGTGTTTGGTTACGTAAAACATCTGAAAAATTGAAAACAATCGGCCCTTTCCGAGGCCACGAATTTTCCTAACGTAGTAACAACACGTTGGATTAAAAATACATTAAGTGATTGTGTCGGGTGATCAGTGTTAGTGGTCGTGCAGTGAAGTGAGTACGTATTCTGTGGAATAACCAGGACGCACTTGACGTTACAACCCTTAACTTCGGCTGGTGAGGTATACCTGCGATCACCTGCGAACTGGGCGATACCCTGCCATAAACCGTTTCGGCCGTCGATGACCAGGATCGGTTCAGTGACCTAGTGACACAGGTTTGCAAACTGCAGGTGAATTTCCGAAAGGGTGAGTTCTAATCAATTTATTGCTGATTATTATTTTCTTAATTTAACGCAAGCTATGGCTTATTTCCGGCGATAATTCTGCAAGTTTCTGTACCTAACTTTTTCTTCGGGCTTTTTGAAGAAACTTATTCATTATCAGTAACATTGTTGACAGTTATTAAACTACGAATTTTTATACCAATACCAAATTACGATCACTTCTCGTTTATTCTCTGTTACATTACCTTTTCGTTCACACGTTATTTGAAAAGGAAATTTACAAATTCGTAAAAAGGAATTTACAAAAATGTAAATGTGCATTCGTCTTTTTACGTTACACATAATTTGCCGGCATTTACGTTTCATTCATTGATCTCTTTAAATAACAAACGACAGATGATAAAAAGTATGATTTTATTTGTTACGTCTTGTTTATTTGCTATTATTATACGCGGTTTCCTGCGATGCATGGTGACCTACTTGTTCGGAGTTTCGTAGTACAAGCGTAGCGCGTAGCCACCGCTAGCGCGGGAACTCGGCTGGCAAACTCGCGCTCTGATTGATCGCGGTTTTTCGTTAATATCTCGGTAACGAAACCTCAGTTTACGTTGTTGCTAAGGAAAAAGTGGTTCCAATTCAACCCCCGAGTGCCCCATTTCCGGGTCGGAGGACATTTTTGGGACACCCTGTATAATGTAAATAGTAGAGGACCCAGTACCGATCCTTGTGGGACACCGTAATTTGTCATAATATATGTCGGCCATTGATTATTAAATTTAACTTGTTGTGTTCTATTATTTAAATACGATCTTATCCATTCCAGTACCAACCCTCCGATTCCATACTGATATAGTTTCTCTAATAATCGTTCCCTATCTACTGTCTCAATTGCCCGCTTTAAATCCAAAAATATATCTCCTACTATTTTTCCCTCACTGACTATCAGTTTCCATTCATCAATCACTGTTTGTATTGCTGTTTCACAAGAGTGATTTTTCCTAAAGCCCGATTGATGCTCTGTTATTATGCTATTATTTTGTAAGAATATTTCTATTTGTTCTTTTACTACTATCTCTAATATTTTCTCATAAGTTGGTAATATATTTATTGGTCTATATTCACAAGCTTTGTTAGGTTTTACTATTTTAGGGATTGGTACTATCGTGGATGTTTTCCATCCTTCAGGACATATACCTTTGCTTAACGAGTCATTAATTACGCTTGCTAGTTCATGTCGTATAACATGAACACTTGCTTTTAATAGGTCACTACTTATTCCTTCATCTGTTCCTTTCTTGCGTGGTAAGGTCATAATGACTCTTTCAACCTTGTTAACATCTATTAATTCAAAATTATCTATAGTTCCCTTGCTCTCTATAACATAAATACTTTTCCGGCCGTTACTATCCTTCCCTTTTATAGACTTAATTATATCATTAATACTCTTTACGTAGTACAGGTTAAATTTATCAGCTAAATTACATACCCCCATGTCATCTAATATTTCAAAGTCTACATCTTGTATTGCCTGTGTCCCTATAGTGTCTCCCTTTATTACTTGTTTTAGGGTTTTCCACAACATTTTCGAGTCATTTCTATTTTTCATCTCTTCATAATATTCTTTCTTTTTCTTCCTAATTGTCCCTACTACCATATTTCTTTCAATTTTATATTGCAACCAGTCTTCTTCGTCATTTGAATATAGCGCTTTATTATACATTTTGTTTCTTTTATTCACAGCTATTTCTATGTCTTCCGAGTACCATTTTTTTCCTTCCCATCTTTCTGGGATTCTAAACACTTTTTTTGGTGCAACTATATCTGGTACGCTTACTATACTCTGAACAAATTTCTCAGCTCTTTTGCTTACTTCCAGATCATCCCTATGTTCATAAATTTCTTCTATTGCCTTACAAAATTCCCCTATATGAAATTTGCTATAATCCCTACTAATAATTTCTCTGTATTTATTCTCCTTTGTACTTCCATTAAATTCGACGCTTATACATGAATGATCTGTTATCTTTGGCTTATTGTGTATCTTATAATTTACTTTAATGTTAGCAAAGACTATATCTATTAATGTTTTACTATCTTTCGTAATTCTTGTTGGTTTGTCGACATATTGTTTCATACCTAATCCTGACATTGCTGCTTTTAATTTTTTCGTATAAAATGAGTCTGTCATTAAGTCTATATTAACGTCCCCTATCATTATACATTGTTCTTTTATCACTAATAAGTCCACTATATCTTCTAACCATCTAATAAAATCACCGTCTGACGCACTCGGTGAGTGGTACACAACCGCAATCACTCCTTTATACGCATTGCTCCTTGCTTTGACCGCAATACACCAACAGTTAGATATTATTTTCTCTTTTACTATTACTTCGTATTTTATATCATTTCTTATGTATAACATAACTCCTCCTGTGTGTCTATTTTCCGCATCACATCTAGCGACATTATATCCCGGCACATTTACTTCACTGTCTTCAATGTCTTCTATCAACCTGGTTTCTGACAGAGCTACGAACGCCGGATTCATCTCCTTCATAATCTGGTGTTGAATTTCATCTTTATGCATCATCACACTTTGGGCATTAGTATATATAATTGACTCCTTCTGTGATTGCTAGGTCGCAGATTCCCAATCTGTTCTCTTTTTCTCCTCTTCTAGTGCTCTGATGTACGCCGGACATTCCACACTTACCGCCTCATGCTCATCATTTATTTTTACGTTGTATGTTTTATTTTTGTACATACAATTTACACATCTCTTCTTTGTTGCCGTACAATCATTTGCTTTATGGTTTCCTGCGCATTTGTAGCATGTGTCTTGTCTTGTACAATATTTGGCGATGTGGTAATATCCCCAGCACTTGAAACATCTTTTAACATTGTAGTAATCAAATACCAGGCATTTTCTTCATCGAATGTTTATTTTCACCTGTCTTATCATTCGTTCATGTATCCTTTTATCTACCTCTAATATTAAGGAGCCTCCTTGCCTTCTTCTTCCTCTCGTTTGCGGATTATCCTCCTTATTTTCTTTATTAATTTTTTGTACTACTTTTATGTATACTCCTTCTTCTCTCCCATTAATTTCATTCTGCTTTAAAATTGTATCTATCAGGTTTTCATCTTTTAAATTCATTTCTTCTTCATTAACATTTATAATTTTTATCTTCGGCTTTTTTTTCCTTGGTTCCGCAATTTCATAATTTTCACCGAGCTTTTCACATACATTGTCTTTCAACATTTTTATCTCACTCTCACTCTCACAGCCCAAAATAATCGATCCTTTGCCTCCCTTTTTAATTTTTGTTATCCCTACAGCTAAGTTTTTTATATCTACTTTTTCTTTTACCAATTGTTTGGTCGTTTCACTCTCTTGTTCTGCCTTTGGCTTGACAATTAATATGTTTTCTTTCTTCTTATATTTCATTGCTTCGCTATAACTTTTCTTTTCACTTCCCGCAATTTCTACGGTCTTCTCTTGTATGCTTTTTTTTAATTCTTTTAATTCTACCTTGAAGTCTTCTAGTTCCTCGTGAATTCTTTGCTTGATCATCGTCTTAATTTCATTTTTACACTCTACTTCATCCTTTATTTCCCTTACTGTTTTAATCAACCAATCTATTTTTATATCCACATTTGATTGTTTACTGGTACTTCCAGTGGCATTTCCTGTTGATCCTGTAGATCCTATCGAACCCGTTCTTTCCCTACTGATGGCCATTTTCTTCACCTCTGCTTTCTTTTCACTGCTTACCTCAATTTCTGCAAATGGACCTTCGCACTTTACTAATTCCTTGTCCTTATACGTCTTGTTCTTGTAAACACATCCCGGATGATAGAAGAATTTCACACAGGATTTGCATTGTATCACTATATTCGTCACTTCTTTCTTACATGCAGAGCAGCGATATTCTGCATAGTCGGTATCACACATATCATCGTTACCGACTTAGCACATTTCATTTACTCGATAACCACTAATTAGTTACCTTAATTGCCGTGTCTGCCAACGTTGACACGTGGCAGTTTAATGGACACCTTTTGTTCTAGCACCAAGACGAAAGATTTATGTAAATCCAGTCTCACATTCACAGTTCAGCACATTTCAACAATCTGTAGCACTCTTAGATACAAACTATCTCTATCCTCAAACTTCTGTGTATACTCAGTCCCTCTTACCCGTAATAAACTATCACTTTGTACAGAGCGATATGAGACACCTGTATATAGAAAGAGAGAGAGGGAGAGAGAGGGAGAGAGAGGGAGAGAGAGAAGGAGAGAGAGGGGGAGAAAGGGAGAGAGGAGGGGAGAGAGTGGGATAGAGAGAGGGGGGAGGGAGAGGGGGGAGGGAGAGGGAGAGGGAGAGGGAATAAACGCCAGCGGAACAATGACATTACCATTCCTATGAACTCGTGATAATTACGGTTGTCTTAACAATACGCTACTTTCGGGCTTACTTGTTGGGCTGTACGTTTAAAGTACTCATGGATTACAATGCCTTGAGGGCGACCATCGCAAAGAGTGATTCATTACCTCTAGACGGTCAATGGTGGTTACTGGTACAAGAATTTATCTTCGACGTTGTATATCTGGCGGGTACAAAGATGACTCATGTTGATGCATTCAGATTCAATCCTCAGTCAATTTTGAACAACGCATATGTGAACGATCGGAGGTTGGAAACAAAGCATTATTTTAACCAGTATATTTTGGAGAATGGCAAGACATATCGACAATTACCTGATAAAAGGAAAGCATGGGTAACTGCCTACGAATGCGCGTTTACAAATATGTCGATTATATCATTACGATGCTGGACATTTGAGTGCAGAGAAGACATTACAACGGATCAAGCGGAGTTACTGGTTCGCCGGGATGAGAAGGTTTGTTATTAATTACGTTGGAGCGTGCTTAAATTATGCATATTATAAGCACACAGGAGGCAAGAAGCAATGCAAACTGAATGTAATGAAGAAAATACTGATACTCTTTCATACAATTTACATTGATCATGTGGGACCTTTTGAGGCACGTAGGAAGCGTAATAAATACCCACTTGTGATTGTCGATGCTTTTACGAAATTTAGGGTCATTGAAGTGGTTATAGATCAAAAGACTCGACACTGGTTTGAACTTGCACTTGGCCTAACGAATCTTTCCGGCTCGCCGTGCGAAGGACGTGTCTGTTATTGTTGCGGCGCGGAGCGAACGGGGGCGTCCGCGTTTCACCTGTCGCCATGACCATGAAAGGCGATCGAAAAACAATATCTTTCGCGTCAAGTTCATTTCGATCACCCCAAATTAGTTCAGTTCGCTTTGTTCCCTTCGATCGCGATCAACTCGTGAGCCATTAGAGCCGCTTCTTGCACGACGTTAACAACTCCCGAGAGTCGTCCCGCGAAAACCCGTCGTTTTCCGCGCTCTCCTGACCTTTTCCAATTCTTGTATCATCTTGTCTCTCCGATTTTTCCTTGTCCTTTCTGATCCATTCTCAACTTCCACTCAAGTGGTATTGCGATGGTGAAAGCCACTCTTTACTAAGTGATCTCCTCCGGAACTAAGCAGCCCTTGCAATTCCTCAGTAATCTCGTCTGCGCCTTTGTTAGTTTCCTATTTCTTTTTGTCTCCGTAAGACCCCGTAATTACGACACGCGCGTTCGCAGTCAAAACGCGCGTCATTTCTCTCATTGCGCGTCCCCATCGAGCCGGTCCCGGCACCCCGTTCGGTACGCGGCGATCCTCCGCGATTCGAACGAAACAACACTGTAAAAGCTTTTTGAGTCTGTTCTATTTGTTTGGGGTGTTAACACGGATTATTTGCGATACGTATGATATTAAGCATGTCTTAAATACCGTCGCAACTCCCAGAGCGAATGGGCAATGCGAAAGGTATAATGAGATAATCGTTGACGCACTCGTCACCACCGCCGCAGGTAAAAATCCGAGAGACTGGGATCTTGAAGTTAAGAAGGTGCAAAATGCGTTAGACACGATGCATAATAAAGGCCTCAATACGACGCCGATGAGAGCTTTGGTGGGCTCTGATGGACAGACTATGGCAGAGAATCGGATTCCGAGCGCAGTACAAGAAGAAATGGATGGTTTTGCCCAATGATCGCTTCGACGTGGAGGATATGCTAGAATGGGTAACACGATTTCGAATGGTAGTCACTGCTGATAGGGTCAAGCCATGGATTATTATTCAGGGTAGCAATCATGGTGACTCAAATTAATAAACTTCTTGCTGGTGTAGGATTGATGACTGTGGTGGTTATTAAGGCAATATGGTAATGAGGTATTGCAAGAAGATCTATTATACGTTATACATATTATACATGTTTTTTATGTGTGTAGAAAAAGAAGTAGATAGCTGGTGATGACCGCTTGAGGAGCAAAGATTGCGGTCAGTTGGAGTGAAGAGGATACCACCAATAAGAGTAGCCGGTGGTTTCTCGAGTTTGGAGGCAGCGAATACGTCGTGGAGGACGACTGCGGTGCTGAACCTCAACACTGGAGAGGAAAGGCATGTTCTGAGGCCATTCCTAAAAATCAAAACATTCACGTAGGGTTGAGCACTTGGTTGTGGTTTAGTAGCCTGAAGAGGATTGTTGCCCTTGGTTACAGAAATTGGACGAAGAAAAAATAGTTTTTTCCCTAGATAACATTTCTCTTACAGTAAAATAAGTTGAATTTTAGGGCAGGTCCAAATACGTGCAACAGCGAGCACGAACACGCGCAGCACGACGTGCGGCCAAAATACCGTCCTCACTCGAGCAACATGCAACAGAATTTCTATTTGAGACCCCCAAGAAGTGTCGATTTTAACGACCCGACGCGCATTCGCAGTCCACAAATGTTCGTGAAGACGTGGAAACACGGCTATCGCGCGCACGAGAACGCTCGGTGCGTATCGTCAACGAAATTGGAAGGAGCTTTTCTATTTTTCTTGAATTAAACCATTCGTAGTGAAAAATAAACCGCTCAATAGAAGAACAACATCTATATAGAATGTTCATGTACCAAATAGTAAGAGTTTCCCTGAATATGTATTATAAAAATAGTATAAATATAATATGTATTTACACATAAAGGTTTTATTGAGAACATGTTGAGAGATTATATTGTTAGACCGAGTTAGAGTGCAAGCGAGTGTTAAAAGAATTGAAGGTTCAACTTTGTTGTCGCTGCGCTTTTAATAAATTCCCGGATCTAACGTTTTCCCGGACTCAGGTAGATTTAGAATAGATACGAGGTAATGACACGTGATTATGTCGCTTAGTGAGAATATAATAGTTGAAAAAACTACAAATCTCGTTCGGTTGTTAACCGGCGAAGTTACTTCGTAAGTTTATAAACGAAAAATTTATAATATAAGGACGATTTCTCTTAACGAACTGTTCTACTAGAGCGATGACAAATAACTGTACTAATCGAATGATTACAACGAACTGTATCGCCGATCGGTTACGGCCGACACCGGCGTTTTCAATCCGACCGGTGTGTGAACCGAGATTATCTCCTCTGTCGCTCAACCTTCCGTAGCAATCTCCCCTGCTCGCACGCATA